CAGCAGGAAGGTAACCATGTGAAGCTCTATTGCAGTCCTATTTCAGGTAGGCCCTTCTGGTATTCTGCTGACCTGTCTTGAGTATTTCTGTGCTACATTGCAAATCAGTGGTACAGATAGATCCTGACTGATTTTTTTGTGTTGGGAGTGTGATGGGAGTATGTCATGCTCACTCACCAGTGGCCTACAGAGTATGCTAGGATTTAAGTATATGTATAACTTTTAAGGTACATTAATATTCCCATTGACTGCTTAAAATTCATTACTTTGGTTCATAACTGTACTCAAAATCTTTTGTAATTGTCTTATACATGTAAAGTGTATATTCAGCTTCTTGAAAGAGCAGGTCTTACACTTTCAATCAGTCCAAGCGTGTAATGCCAAATCAACGTGTCCTATTTCTGTCGAATCCTCTGTGTACTGCATGACTATGGTATATTGTAATAATATATAGTAATAATATATAATACTAATATATAATTTTATAGCCTTGTAAGCCAACATTAAAATATCTGCAAAACTTAGTCAATATTATCAAGGGAGGCATAAACATGAATAGTGTCAAAAGTGTCAGCACAGAAAGGCTACATTGCCTCTTGGAGACACTCAAGAGCTGGATGTTTTTATCCTCCTGCTATGTGACTAGATAAATGCTTGTTGTATGACCAAAATGTAGTTCATAGAATAATGAACATCTGGAGGTCATGTAGGCCAGGCTTCCTCTCCTTGGGGGTATTGGTGTGAAGATTTTTTTTGCCTTATCTAATTGGAATTTCCCATGTTGCAGCTTGTGTCTGTTGTTTGTAGGCCTTCTGCTTTGTACATCTGAGAAGTCTGGCTTCATCTTTTCTACATCCCCCCTTTAGAGTTCAGCAAGGTAATCTTTCCCTTGCCTTCTCTTTTTAAGGCTGACCTAACCCTGCTCACTCAGCTTCTCCTCGTACTTCATGTGCCTGAACCCCTTTTATCACATTGGTGGTCCTCGGCTGGATCTGCTCCGCTATGTCAATGTATGTCTTGTATAGGGGAGTCCAGAATTGAATACAGTACTCCAGTTGCAGCTTCACAACTGCCAAACAGAAGGGAAGAAACATCTCCCTTGATCTGCTGGCCTCACTCTTGCTAATATGCCTCTTGCTTATCTCCACTCACATGATGGGACTCAATTAAGGTATGTGCTACAGGTGTCTCAAATGTCTTCAAACAGACATGCAAAATAATCCTTTTTCCCGTATTCTTAAGCAAAATACAAAATTAGTGCCATAACTCTCTACAGTGTAGATTTTCTTACATTATTAACAACTCAAAACAAAAGCCAAGCATTAGTACTCACATAGCCTCATTAAAATGCTATAAAAGTATTCACAGACAAGAAGATTCTAGTGGTTAAATCCTGTGAACTTAAACAATAATATATTTACATAAAACCTTGGACTTCATCACTGCCCTTACAGAAAACGCCTTTGAAAAGCTGAAGTGGTAAAGGAGCTGGTAATATCCTAGGTTTATGTAATGCTTCTTTTCCTTATTATTATTTCTTTGCAAGCTTCTCAAACATGCTCAAACAGGTGATGTATGTTTTCCCTGTAAGCTCTCCTCCCTAACTAAATAATTTACTTTCTAATGTAATAAATGTCGGGCGTATGCTTCCCAGGATGGATGCTTGAATCTAACATTCCATCAGGAAAGCTTTGATTATAGTTTTTTTTTAATTATGAATCTACAAGGTGGACCTGGCACAATACTGTCATGAAACTAGTATATTAGTTATCTTGAGGTAAATCTCAAAAAATACAGTCTAAAAATGTACTGAATTTATATCTCCTTTATGTTCAATAGATCATGATTTACTAGTTCTCATTTCAAGATGAAACTGAGGTTGTGTGAGTATTTCCAAATGTGAGTGCCTAAATATATTAGGACATATACATGACATAACATAAAAGGACTAATTTTCTGGCGTGTTCACTGTATGAAACTACTGTTAAGGTTAAAAGGATCTGAAGGGAACCGTAAGTAAAGGCTCTGCATGACCAACATTTTTGGAAGTCAGACCACTTCCATGTAGATTCCTGTGTTTGAAAATATTGGCCCTGGACTTTAGAACATACTCTTTCAAACAAATAAACCTGTCTCTGTCATCAGTGATAAGTTCTACAATGTGTTAAAAATTACTACCATCGATGAAAACAGGACAGATTTTACTCTTTATATTAAATCCTATGTTGTGCATTAAAAGCTGAAATTACTGTAGCAAAATTCAGTACTGTGGTAACTATTTTTTAAAATTACCACCCACTGTTAGGTGTGCAAGAGATTTACTCAGTTGCTGTTCAAGAACTACTACAGAATAATAGAAACTCTAGTGTATGTATGTTGCTTAAAAATACTGTGCAATTTATGTATTACACTTTACTTGTACGGACAGGTTTTACTGAGTATTTAGCAATTCCTGTAACACGCCAGGCCAATGAGTATCATCCTGTCATCAAACTGAAATAGATCTGACATCTTTTCTGGCCTAGAGGGGCAATCGTTATGATTGCTTTTCATTACAATTTAAATTGCATATAGTACCACCAATGGAAAGAAGAGAGGCTTTGCCTTACCTTCTTATATCTTTGGAAGATCTGTAGTTATAAATTGAACCAGATTTTCTAAAATGACTAAGCACGTTTAATGAAAGTTCTACCACGTCTCTACTGTTTTTTAATTTTGGCAGGAAGATTAATATATTCATATTTTTCAGGATATTTCTTGCCTCTAAGCTATAAAAGCATCTGTAAGGCATTCTGTGACAAACTAGTCTTTGCTTTGAAGGAATGCTTATTACAAAAGCAAGGTGGTTTTTTTTGGCAGAGAAGAATTTAGAATAGTTTTTTTCCCTTTTTATGAGGGAAGAAAGGAGGGAAGAAATATTCACATTTATTTATATTCATGACCATTTAAATTTTATCTGATTCTTCTTCCAGTTTGAAAGACTTCTGTTTCAAGCCAGGGAAGTTTTCCTACACAGATATTTCTGAAGAACCCTAAAGTATGCGTCATGACTCCCCCTGTTCCCTCCCATTTTTTAAAAATATAAACAGATTTGAAATATGTGTGCGAGAGGTGGAAAATTTTGTTGCTTCAACCATCTGGTAGGCTTAATTGCCTTTGCTGAGCACACCACTTCCATAAATACTGGTGAATATAAAGCGCACATGGTATAATGGATAGTATCACAAAATAAGATCAGTACAGTACTGATTTTTACTAAAGTAAAAATGACTGTACACAGAAAAGGAAAGAGGAGCACATGTTCAGTTTTAAGTGTCAGCTTCAGCAGTGGAACCCTGTTGCTGAATTTTGATGCAGAAAATTTTATGTCAGATAAGCTGATAGTCTGAAGTTCTAGGACTGATTGTCATGCTAAATAAAAATACAACCACTATATATATTAGTGTTAGAACCAGAACAAAGAGTATGATGGGTAGAGCAACATGTTCCATTTTTTTTCTTAATGGGCATAATGTAATAAATGACTGACGGACAGTTGCATTAACCTCTTTAGAAACCTGAAGTTCTTTCCATATTTAGCATACTGAAAAATCTAGTCTTTCTTCCTGTTCTAGTGCAGAAATTTTGTTTTATGTATTTTATGAGAGTAACTTCCAGTGTAGAACCAAGAATGAAGCCTGCATGAGGTGTAGAGCACTAAACTTTGGATACCTAAGCAATTAGACAAGTCCACAATCTTAAGACGTTTCCATTTCTTTTTGCATAGGGAGAATTTGGTATCCATGAAAGACATTATCTGGGTGTAGCCGAGTATAAAACTGCTCAGGCAGGCTACATGAGCCAAGACAAAAATGCAGAGGACAGAAATGGGTGCTTGGGGCATTGGTCTTGGTACTGGCATTAGTGTCTCCTCCCAGGACTGTTTATGCATTTTGAAGTAGACAAACTCGGGTAAAAATCGACAGACGTATTGGGAGCCACATCCAGGACTAGGATTTTTCCTCCGCCCCACCCAAAGGCACGCTTTATTGCAACGGTATGACCAGATCCTTCTGGCCCTGTGAAGTTTGCATTGTTTGCTTCATGGCTGCACAACTTCAGTGGAAGACCTGAAGACCTGTTCTCCAGTCTGGAGCTAAGGCACCCTCTGGAAAAATGGCTTTGAATCAAACCAAGGAGGACAACTGGCTTCCCAATTGCTTAGTATGGTATCTAACCCCTAGACTATTACATAGAAAGCGCTGCATAGGTTTTTCTGTCATATGTTTGAACCAAAACAATGAAGTCTCATCTGCTGTCTGATCTCAGTATAAGGTTAGCTATGATCTAAATTCAGAAAATGGATAAGATCCCTCTGGGGACTTAGGCACAGGAAAAAGTAGTTCATGAACCCACGTGAAAAAGATGGTAGCATCCTTAGTTCCACACAGAAGTTAAACCTAGGTGGTCTAAAACTCTACTAACAAATTTCAGATGCGTGAATACTCAAGTAGTCTTAGAATACTATAGACTGTATTGTTGAACTAAGACACCAGTATTTCACCTGGCCTCACCTGAAGCTCCTAAGTCCTTTTGTGGATCTGTGCCTATATTCACAGACGTGGTCATTGGCAGGGAACAGGTCTTCAGAAGTGGTGTCTTGGCACTCAAAGCACTGTGATTGTGATAGCTACACAGTCTGCTTCAAAGCAGCAGTTAATTTTGGTGATTCACAGCCATGGTGCTTATAAAAATATTATTCTGATCTCTCCCCCTCCTCTACATTTTCCTCTGAAATGAATAAATATTGTATCACGTTCTCTATTCTTTTATCTGTCATAGACCACAAAATAATCTCAAAGCAACACCAGATTTGATATCTGTAAATCTCAAACACTCATTTTCTTTGTCTAGTTAGAAAATTGTTTTGTATACAAGAAACAATCTAACACTGAGGTAAACTTTATGAAGAAATCATAACGCTGTTTTAGTATGTTGCAGATGCTCCTTTAGAATAACTTGCACTGACTCATGGAAGATCTTTTGTGGATGACTGGTTCCTCATAAAACTTTGGTAACTAGGTCCCAGCTGGAACACGAGCAGCACCGCGCTCTTCTTCCTGATGGTGCAGTCCATCAAACAAATCCCCTGGATGCTCCCCATTACAGGCTCAGTATCTGTTTGGTGGTGGTCACGGAGACAAAATTGTGGGAACCAATGTTGTAGATCAGAGTCAGTGTGAAAAAGGATATGTAAATACAAGAAGAATACATAACTAAGAATGTTTGCTAGTGCATAAGTGTCTTAGATTTCACAGCTTAATTCCTATTTAAATTCTTGCATTGTAAGTGGGTGATTTTCTCCATCCGGTACAGTTATAGATCTTCCCTTAAAGGCTTTTTCCTGTGGCAACTGCATACGGAGTCTCTGTCATCAGGCTGAGGTACGAGTTCCATTCCATCCTGTATTTCAGGTTTGCTGGCTTGGCGTTTGGCGTATTTCTGAAATATGTAAACAACATTTAAGAATGCTATAAGCACCAACGTATAATTCATGAAACAGAATTTTCCTCCTCCCTTCCACTCACAAGCTTGCCTTTATCCAGGCTCTTTATGTCATTGTTTACAACCTGTTTGCAAAGTATCTTTATAACACACCTACTAATAGGCTACATTGCCTCTGAAAACCTCCTTTAATGTTTTCCACTGCCCTATTATTAATGGTAATTTGAATATTGTCATTATTTGTGCCTCTATGCAGATAATGCTGTCATTTTTGTACACTGAACAGTTCCAAACTTCGTGTCAACCTGTGGCTGCTGAAGCTGTGATCTAACTCCGCACAGCAGAACAGGAAAAAGAAGTTAGTACTTCTAGAGAACAGAAACTTCTTTCACTAGAGATTTGCATCTCCTAGGGAAGCAATGACTATTTGGCCTGCTTCACCCCTTACCATGCTACTAGCCATACTTCCGGAATTTCTTTTCCATGTATTCATTGTTTTGTAATACAGCGGAGTAGCTCATGAGGGGATAAGTATGAAGGGAAAAAGGAAGGAAGTTTTGTACAGATTATCTCCTATGTCTATTAGAAACCACATACCAAGTGACACTGAAAACAGGTTTGTGGGGATAGGGGCAAAAAAAATAAAACATCTGATTCTGTAAAACAACTGTTATGTCAGGTTGCCTCTTTAATGACGAAGCAAGTTTTAGCAAAGCTCTTCACACTGATCTCCTGTGAATAATATGAACCGTATCTGCTATTGATATAAGTAAGGACTGAATATGAAATTTGTAGCATCGGTAGCAGTAGCAGTTAGAGGGAAGTAATAAAGTGGTCTATTGTACTAACCTGGAGCACTTTATAGTAGTAGCAGTAAAGCCTGTGAGGCTGAAGTAATTCTCTTGCCATTAATTGTCCTTCTTTAGCAATTTTTCTTGCTTCTTCATCATTTTCCTGGAAAATGGAGATGAAACGAATGAATAATAGAGCAATCGGTAAGTTACTCAAAGCCTGACTAGCATTAGAAGTTTTATTAAAGGGGCTATTCAAATCTGCAACTTTATGTGCAATTACTGGTAGACTGCAAAGGCGCACTTTAAATTGCAGATTTTTTTAAAATACTGAATTGCTTTTATGGTCACAACTGGTACCTTAGGGCTATCAATAACAACTTCCATGGATAACTGTACAATTTTGAAAACTCAGTTGATTACTGCTCTACTATTTTTTCCAAGCCACAAGCCTCTTCAAAATCAGGTCTGACATCTCCCAGACATACTTAGTAATTAGTAATGTAACTTACCTTAGCCCATTTTATTTTCTCTAGCAAGTCCTCTAAGTTTCTCTTAACTGGAACATAATGTTTCCAAGGTTTTAATCCAATATAAAAGTGTTCATAGTACTGGGAATCTTGCTTCAATACTAGGCTGTCACCCAGCAAGAGGTATGGAAACCTGTAAGCTGCTACGGTCCCATCTACATTCACTTGGTATTTGTACTACAATGTGAAGACAGAAGAAAAAAGGGTGAAACGTTTTGAATTGGAATAGGAACACTGATTGTATAAAAGATTATTTTCACAAGCAAGACATAATTGTGTTTATTAATTCTCATCTTCGAACCTGTTTTAGTGTTAAACAGGTGTAGTTTCATGGTGTTCTGGATAACATAATGGAAAAAAGATTTGGTTTCAACCCAAGACTGACAGTCAAGAACCTTTGTGTCACATGAACTGCCTGATGGGTGTTCTATTAAAGTGTCCTGGGATAGAGCAAGGGGTGGAGCTGTGAAGGAAATAAAACTAATCTATACTTAAATTCAAAAAGACTAAATTTATTCTGACTTAAAATTATATTATTATGTAGAATAATACACGAAACGTGTTATTATGTAAAACAATCTGAAACATTATACTAAAAGTAACCATGAATGTACTGCTCTGGCAGATGCTCTTGGCTGTTACAGCATTTCTGATACATTAATCTCTGGAACAGAACTTCAATTGCCATATATTATAATTGCTTTTTACAGGACTCTGTCTCCTTTTACTTTTTATACATCTGTTGCAGTGGAATTTGTGTGTCAAAGTGCAACAAAAACACCCATCTATTTTTCTAACTCGTTGCTACAAGGACTCTTTCTAACATCCATAATGTACTTGCAATGGACACAAGTTGTGTCCATTGTTTTCATATTTACCCCAAATAAAAGAAACCGCGATGGTGAGAAATCAAATTTCTCAATCTATTTTAAAAAAAAAAAAAAATCTCCAAGAACTCTCTCCAAGGGACTCCACGAAAAAAGTATAGGGGCTTTCTTTAGAAGTGTGTCACACTATGACTTTGATTACAGGTGGTCTATCTACCCCGCATGGACCAGTGTTCCCCGTGTAGCACAACTGTTTTGTTTACTGAATGGAATTAGCAAAAGTAAGCCTTGTCTTTTCAGTTGGTAAGAACTTGACAGCAAAATTAATCCAAGACTGTAATTTGTGTGCTACCTTAAAGAAGTCAAAGAAGCCCATCAGCTGAACCTTTCCCAGCTCTTTTTCTTTTTCTCTGAAGAAGAAATATCCTGTTATGCCAGCATCTAGTAGTTCTGGATTTTCCTTGGATAACTTGACAAGATGGAGACGTTCTTCTCGGCTGTCTCGACCTCTAAACAAAGCTCGCTCAGTTTTGTTTTCCCAGAATGGGCCTACGAGCATTGAGTGATAAGGTAAAAGCAAACAGTAATGAAATGTTCATGAGAAGTTTAGTGCAAACAAGGAACTTGCTATGACGGTGGCATTACACTCAGAGACACGGTAAAACAGGCATGATTTCTCGTAGTGAATCCACAATCACTTGTTAATCATAGGGTTTAAACTCCCAGTTCTGACTTGAATTTTGGGATGAGAAACTGAGCCACTTAAAAAAGGAAAATCAGAGAATTGCTTTTCCACTCAACAATGTTATATTTAAATAACTTGAAAGATCTTGAAAGCTACATAAGGGATTATAATCAAATTATATAAGTAAAATATTAATAATTAAAGTAATTCTCCATCCATAAAGCCTGCAACAATAACTAAAATTTCTTTAGTAAAATCCACTTCTGTTACCCAGCAATTTAGTTAGGTCTTTGAGGAATCACGCAATGATGACTTGAAAAGGAAAAAAAATGGCTATACTGTGTCCTCAAGATACTTAGCAAGAGCCTGAAAGACTTCATCTCTGCTTACTGCCTGCTTTTAAAAACATTAAGTATGTCCCTCCTCATCCTTCTGCTGGAAACGTCCTTAAAGGACCTATTAAAGTAGAGTAGGCTCTTATCGTCTCCTAATTGGAAAAGCAGCTGTACTAAATCAGTAAAGAGAGAGTGCTTCAAACTGATAATTAAAATATTTAATTTAAAGACAAATAAAGAAAAGAGAAACTGTGAACTAATCAAATAAAAACCAATACCTCCTCACTCAAGTTTTACTCCTTAGGTATTGTTCATGGCATTTGTCTGATCCCTAAGTATTCATGAATTACCTTGTAGGGGAGGAAGACACCTGTCAGTAAAACTGACTCTTCCTTCAAAGCTAGAAAAAAATTCAGAAGATCCCACTCTGAGGTATTTTTTTATACAGACCATATTTTCTTATTTGAAAGAGGCTGCAGCATAGCACTAGTTTACTTCTTTCAGGATTCAAATTCATTTTTATGTAAACAGAACATTGGGCCACATCACTGTCAGGAAAAGGATTACTATTTGATTACTAGGAACATACTCAAGTCCTTCACTGAGAAGAAAGGCCTTTTAATTATATTTACTTGTCTTTTGACAGGTCACAGTAGCTATCTTCTGGATACCTTTAAGTTACAATTCACCATTATTGTAAACTGGACTTGTAAATTTCGGCTCTAAATCTATATTAAACACCTGCTTAGGAGCAGTGTTGAAAGTGTTTACCATCTGTAAAGACTAACCTGCTTGTATTAAGAGACCTCCTAAGGCTCTTGTGAACTGAAGACTTTAACACATTATTTGAATGCAACTTGCTTCTTTGACGGAATTTACAAATTATTTTTTAAAATCCATGATCTCTAATTTACCTGTATTTCCTTGAATAGAAAGGAGATCATTTGTGACTCCACGTAGGGTTTCAAGGGTCGAGTGGGTTACATCATACGTTGGAAGGACTATATCTCTTGAATCCACAGAGCCACACCATGAAATGATAGGTATAGGACCAGGTGTATCATTAGCTTTCCGATACTCAACTGGCCAATCTCCAACATTAAGATAAAACTCCACATCAGGAAGACGAACCTAAATGTATACCCAAGAAAGGATAATAACACAAAGATAGAAGCTGTTTGTCACTCTTACATGTATTGCTCAGTTCTCTTTTGTCGTGCAGAATCAATAAACCTACTAGATAATAGATTTAGCTGAGCTTAAGGTATGAATTTCAAGTTTCTGCCCCGCAAGCAAGTATGAAAGGAACACTCACACGAGGCCAGGAAAAGGCTCACAGAGTCAGGCCTCAGCCCCTGCTGCTTTCCTACCAATTTCATTACCGTCAAGCTCAGCCCCCACACATTATCCTTAAGATACACTGTCATCTTGATGAAAAAACAAAAGTCAAATCTTACTTCAGGAATTATAAATCTGAAGATACAACAACAAATGCAGTATTGCCATATTAGAACATGACTTAATAGTCTTAAATGATCGAAACTGATACCTTTCTTGCCAGTGACAGGAACATTTCATCGGAGAACATTTTGAAGTCTGTATACTTCCCTAAGGAGCGACGGTAGATGTGATTATTGAGAATAGTGTAATGAACAATAGCACCTCTTGTCTGACTGAACTTTGTTGGGATTTCCTTAAGCATTCGCTGAAGGTCAATGGTGGGAAAAGAAATGAAGTCCTTTGTAATCTGAGGTTCTTGGGATGGACAAGACATAACGTTCTGCCAGATCTCAGGGTCTTCTTCAGGACAGTCACAATATTCATGATAAACTGGTCCTGCAGAAAACAAAGTACTGAGAGTTTATATTTGTGATTCTACATCAGTCATAATTCCCCAAACGCATGGGCATATAAATGTAGCCATTACAGTGGCTTGACATTTTTTATTCCAAGTTTTCTAAAGTTTTCCTGGGAAATCATCCTCCCTGTAACATTTCTGGGGTTTAGCAGTGTAATTGAGAAAACAACAACATTCTTCTCTTTTCAGGAATCAAAATGCTAGATTTTTTTGTTGTCAGGGTAAAATTCATCTGCAAAATGAAGTTCCATTATCGTGCTACCTGCCAACCACATAAGGCATTCAGAATTGTTCTAACTGTCCATAACTACCAAAGCTCAGGTACTACAGTTTCAATTTTAGCCTAATTCAGAAGTTTGATACAGTAGTCTTTATCTCTGGCATAAGGTGTTTTCTTTTATGTATAATCACCTGTTTTTGTCCTTTTGAAGCAGAGAGTTTAGGTATAAGCAAGAGCGTCACAGAACGTGAAAAAAGGCCATTATTTCATGGACTTCTAATCAAAACAGGTTCTGTCCTGTGTCATAGTTTCATGGCTGCTGGCAAATGTGCACCAGCAAGAAGGCGGCATGCTACTACCTTGAGGACTCAGGACAGTTTCATTTCAGTTTGAAGGCATTTCTAAGTTTGTATTTAGGAAATTTTATTAAAAGAAACCATGACCAAATTCTGGTTAGAAGAAGTAGTGGTGAACTGAAACAAGACTCTCCAGAAAAGTAACTTTATATTATCTTTTTCTTTGCTAAGCAGCTGTCTGTTTGAGAGCAAGAGAAGGAAGTTAAAGCAGCAGATATGGAATGAGAGAATAATTTGCCTTGTTTTCCCTGCTTTTAAATAGTTCTTCCACGGTATAGACCTGCACTGAATTAAACTGGGCTAATGGAAAGAAAGTTAAATATTTTCTGGTTAAAGAAATATTGTCTTTGCTGTTATGAAGGATCACACTTTTTAGAACTCAGAGACGTTTGAATTATAAAGTGTTGGGAACAACACAAAATCCTTGCTTCTGCAGGTAGTATTTTCTACTTTAGATAAAAATAACACAATTTAAGTTTAAGTGAATACCTGCTTGAAAACAGTAAAAATAAAAGCATTGCTCTCTTACTCCCTACCAAATCTGAAGAGATCCATTTCCTTATGCAGGAGGGAAGAGGAGATGTCCAGATACACCACCTTAACATCAGAGGCCATAATCTACATGCTTATGCATCTAGGTCCTGTAACTTGGCAACGTATAGAGATTGTCACTGCTTTCTTCTCTGCATAAGGAGAACGTTTATGAGGAGACTACATGAACAAGGGCAAACAAACCTCTAATTTCCCACCTCTTCCTCTAGCAGTAAATTAGTCCATAGCATTTCCGTAGCTACCATCATACGTGACATTAAATCAAAAAAATACCCTTACCTTTCAAAATATAAGGAGATTGAGCTACATGCTGATCACCATAAAGTATCTCAATTTTTAACCCTTTTCTGACACTCCCATACATCCGATACCGCATAAGAAATGTGCCATCATTTCTATCCAAAGGGCGAGGGGTATAAATTCTGGTGGCTTCTTTTGGAGAAAGTGCTTTAATTACCACTTTAAACTGTGTTCTTCCTGAAAAGAGGAAAATAAAAACAGATAAAAGCACTTTAAGCTATTAGAGTCACACATATGAAATAAAGGTGAGAGCAAACTCTACTGGATTAAGTCCATCGAATTTAATTTAACTTTGCACTAGAAATTTTTTTATTATACCAAGTCAGTAAAATTAATTTCCAGTGATGGAAGATCATCCTACCAAATTTTCTTGATCATCACATACCTAATAAATGGAAAACCTGTAGATGGAGATAAAAAGTTAAATAATGATTACAAGATAGAAGGAAAGGCTAACAGTATTTTGAAGCAAAGATTAGGTTTAATACTAAGTGTTCAAGTTAGTGCTCTGAGGAACAATCATTTCCTCTGGAGTACGAAAGATAGGAAACCAAGTTAAAATAACAGGAGAAAAGAATACTTGCCAGGTTGTGGAAAGGCAGTTGCAGCATGCAGGAGTCAGATACAAATTGTTCACCTTTGGGCTGCAGCTGACTGTCTTGCAAATTTAAAGTCCCAGCTACTGAAAAGCAGGGATAAGAGAATGATAGTGGAGATGTTTCCTGGACATCTGTCTGACCTGTGCTTAAAGATCACCAGCATTTCATCATTAATGCACTGTGGCTTTTTAACCGGGCATGGAATATTTTGTGGACAACACAAGTATGCACAAACATAAATCTGTTATATTCCCTTATTTCTGTCACTAAGGGTCATGGTCAACTTTATTCTTCAAAAAAGAGGAGGACAATTATTCACAAAATGTTATCGTCTAAGCATTGCAAAACCAAACAGATGTAACTACACAAAGTAGTATGCAGAAAGAAATGAAACTGAAAAAATCCAGATAAAATCAAGATGTTACTAAAATTCGAATGTGTCCCAACAGCACTAAATGATTGAGATGTTACAGTTAATTCTATACAATCCATATTTTAACATACTTTGCATCCACAAATTAATGCACTGATGTGGTAAGTACAACAGTCGTTTAACAATCAATCGTGTCTTCCTTAGAGCACCGGATCTTGAAATTGGATTCAAGTCAACTACCGTGCAAGAGTCTCCAGATTAAATTAGGCAGAATCTTTATGATGAATACATGTCTCAGACGTGTATTTCCTGACACCTGTTTCAATGTAAGAATATAAAATGTGGATTATTTGTAATCATCCCTCAGTTTTCTTACTATTCAAAGTCCATGCCAGCTAAAGATACCAAGAAGCAAGTCAGAATACCTTCATTTGACAAGATATTGAAGAAATAAAATGAAGCAAGCATTCATTCCTTCTTGGAATGCCAGTGTGGCAAGCAGCACTCCCACCAACTAAGGAACGCAGAATATTGTCTCCAGTAGCTAGCAGATCTATCGTGAGAAGCCCTCATTTGATTAAGTATCAGTCCAGAATGATTTCCAGAAGTGGACTTCTGACTTCTGAGAAGTAGAGGAATGTTAAGGTTGCTCCAGATACGTGGTACTTCCTTTTCAGAGGAATGATGAGTGGACACCTCCCTGCTTGCTGGAGGTGGCAGGCTGAAGACACATTAGCAGTACAGTTGTGCAGTGTGACATTTCCTTGGGCAGGTGTAAGTATAGCTCAAGCAATGCTAATAGACTTAAACTCCAGAACAATTTCTATGAATGGTATATTGGTTTAGATCTAAGACTGTCAGAGGATCTCTAAAACTTGGATCTATGTGAGTAGAACTGATTCAGATTGGCTTACAATTTGGTAGATCCTCAACTTGTTTTGGTGTATCTGCAAGCAGAGTCATGATCAGAAAAGAGGCAGAAAAGTATAGTTTTGCCCCCTTCATATATTTTTGACATCTAGCTACTGATTACCTTTCAACATGGCATAAAGTAGAAACAAAATGATAATGTAAGAATGGCTGTATGATCATAGGCCAGAAATTGACCTTTAAACCAAAGGTCCGCTCAGTATCTTGCACCTTACTGTCGCTAGCAGAGATGTGCAAGATAGTAAGAACAAAGAAATTACAGAATACTTTTGAAATTACTGTCTTCCCCTTCTAGAAATCTGCAACAAAAGGACTTGAAAAATCACAACTTGTATACACATAATTTCAATAGCCTTCAGTGAAGATTTTCCATGACTGCTTAATCCCCATTTAAACATTCTGGTATTTGTTGTGTCAAAAGCATCCTAAGGCAGTTCTTTTTCCAAAATGTGATTACATATTACAGAGATGTTTCTTTTAAAACTTCTGTCTGATAACACAAGAATTATAGGCATCAAAGGAAGTTCTGGGAGACAATGAATTTTAGTTCCCCATTTGTCTTCTCCTCCTTGAGTTAGCCTGCATCCCGTAGCCGGTTTCAAAACTGTCAATGAGTCAGATATCCAGAACTATACAGAGAGTAGTCAGGTTCTTTCTAAATATATCCTTCAGTTCTTCTTTGCTCTGTGCAAGATTATGTTGTACCATGCAACACTTGATAACAGAAACATGATGGAGAAACACAGAGTAATGAGAATCACAGAACTGTTGCCTTTGGAAGTGACCTCAAGATCATCTAGTCCTACCCCCCTGCTCGGATCAGCCAGAGCAGGGTGTCCAGGACTGTGTCCTGTTGAGTTTTGAATACCTCCAGAAATGGAGACGCCAGGATCTCTGGGTAATCTGCTCCAGTGTTTGACCACCTTCACAGTAAAAAAACCTTTTCTTGTGTTCAGACTGAATTTCATGCGACTTCTTCCAGTCTTCAGGAACCTCTTCCATTTGCTGTGGTATTTCAAAGATGGTCAAAAGTGGCCTCGCAATAATGTCAGCCAGCTCCCTGAGCACTTGTGGGTGCATGCCATCAGGCACCAGAGATTTAGGTATGTCCAGATTTTTAAGTGTTCCCTAACCCGATCCTCCTCCACCAAGGGTAAGTCTTCCTTGTGCCAGACTTTCCCTCTGGTCTCAGGGTCTTGGGATTCCTGAAGGCTGGTCTTACCAGTACAGACTAAGGCAAAGACGGCATTTCAGTACCTTGACCTTTTCTGCATTATTTGTCACCAGGTCCCCCGCCCCATTCAGCAGCAGGCTCACATTTTCCCTAGACTCCTATTGCTGTTGATGTACTTGTAGAATCCTTTCTTGTTGCCCTTCACATCCCTCACCAGATTCAACTCCAGATCAGCTTTGGCTTTCCTAACCCTATCCCTGCACAATCAGACAGCATCTCTATATTCCTCCCGGGTCACCTGCCCTTGCTTCCACCTCTTGTACGCTTCCTTCTGTCTGTGTTTAGCCAGAAGCTCCTTGTTCATCCCTACAGGCCTCCTGCCGTCTTTGATTTCCTGCTGGTAGGGATGGACCATTCTTGAGCTACGAGAGGCAACCCTTGAGTATCAGGCAGCTGAGAAGGCAACAGGGAAAGACTTCCTCTTCAGAAGAAAAGGACTATTTTAATTTTCGTTCTTCACAATGATTCTGATGGAATTAGCCTTCTCTTGGATTTGGATTACAGAGAAAATGAATAAATGCAAACTAGGATGACACTGCAAATGCTTGAGCCCCTGTGGTTAAGACATGGGAACAGTTTTGTTAAAGGAGAAGGACAACATACTCAGGTCTAAGACAGTTGGCACGGCATTTTATTAATTTCCTCTTGTGTGATCCATATTTTTATGACCGAAGTACCTGCTTTTCACTCTACCACAGTGAAGGGACTTCAGAGACTTCAGATTCTCTGAAATCTCTGAATCTAGTGCCAGCACAAACACTAAGACTGTGGTAAGTCTTTTGAAAGGCTTGAGAAGAAAACATCAGGGAGTTGGTTTCCTCATGAATAGTCTTCTGCATGAGGACAGTGTGGAGCTGTAGTCCAAATAAGAGGAAAGACACATTTCTCCAAAGGTGAGCAACAATTTCTGTTCCTCATTCAACTAAATACTGCCAGAGGTCTTAATGCAGGAGTCAGTCTCCTCCTTTTGAATTTGGCAACGGATTCTATGAATGACTCTCCCAAAGGAATGGACATCTCTGCCTCTAAAGTTGCCTGGGGAGGGGAACCTCAATCTATCCCACTCCTACCAGTTTGATGCCAGGGCCAGCAATAGATGCCCAGAGCCTGGAGAAGGAGCACAGGTCAGCAGGAGAGCACCTGAAGAGCAACACAAAGGACCTCCAGCCAGTAAGACAGCTTCATGGGGGGCCCAACTTCAATGCCTCTGTGCAAACGCACGTAGCATGGGGAATAAACAAGAGGAGTTAGAGACGTGCCCACGCCTGCAGGGCTACGACCTTATTGGCATCACGGAGACATGGTGGGATGGCTCCTATGATTGGAGTGTTGGGATGGAGGGATACAGGCTCTTTAGGAAGGACAGGCAGGGGAGACGAGGAGGGGGTGTCGCCCTCT